CCCCCCCCCCCCCCAACAAATATTGCTTCCCCCATGTGAGAAAATTTATAATGGAAACATTTCTTGAGAGCAACTCCAAGTCAATGGCTAAAATGGAAAATACCTGGACCAAATATAGACTACTCAAGCTTATACACCAATTAATAAAAATGAACTTTTAGAGATAAAATAGTTATACAGCTAAATACCTCCAGGTCACAAATATCAATGGAGGTTTCTACAGCATCATTTAATCATAGCTGCTCTGTCCCCACACACCTCTCACTTCACCCATTCCCAGTGCCCATGGCACTGGGCACATTACATTTAGCCCAACGTGTCCACGTGGGCTATTTAGAAGGATTTAAAAGCATAGCCAAGGAATGGGAAGGAAAGGCAAAAGCTTACCAGTGTTTTAAGGAAGCTCATGACTGAGTTCTCTCCTGCAGCAGTGGCCTGAGGGCTGTCCTGCTTTACCTCTGCCTTCTCAGGGTGCACAGCAGTGAGACTGTTGCCACCTGCCGAGTCCTGCCGTAGGTCCTGGTGGTTGCAGTCATCTATCTCCTGAAACAAGGGGGCAGAGATTCCTCAGTCCCAGCCTGCTTCGTGTCCAGTGGAATGCCAAAGTAACTTTTGTGACTTGCATTATGTTGCTGAGAGTCACAACCCTAATTCCAACCATACTTCTCCAGCCTACATCTTGGGAACAATGGAGCATTTATTCCTCTCCTTCCCCTCTTTTCTAATCTATTCAGTGGTTGCTGTTGGTTGGGGGAACAATGTTCTCAGCTACCAAGTACAACAAACACGAGTAAAGGCACACACAGCATCCCAAACATCACTTTTGTCTTTTCAAGGCTGAACTTGTAAAGAATGGGGATAAACGCTGAGATTTTGGCCTTGGACAGCTCAGTGTCTGGTTGTACTGGTTGTCCCTCTTTTCTAATCTATTCAGTGGTTGCTGTTGGTTGGGGGAACAATGTTCTCAGCTACCAAGTACAACAAACACGAGTAAAGGCACACACAGCATCCCAAACATCACTTTTGTCTTTTCAAGGCTGAACTTGTAAAGAATGGGGATAAACGCTGAGATTTTGGCCTTGGACAGCTCAGTGTCTGGTTGTACTGGTTGTACAGCAATTCCTTGGACAGCTCAGTGTCTGGTTGTACCACACAGCAATTGATTCTGCTACTCTCCATTCTGCCATTCCAGGAATAATTTTGATCTAGTAAACACAAACATGATACAGATTCAAAGAGGGGGGAAAAAAGCAACAACTCAGAGTCCTTCAGAGCTGTTTCCTCTCTTAATGGAATCACAGTTCCCAGAGCCCAAAAAGAGTTTCAGTGCTCAAGCACTCACAAGTGTGTAATATGAAGTTACTCTGTTTGTTTGGATACCTAAACAAGGGTCTGGTTTAAAAAAACCCACTTCTTGGACCAGGTATGGACAGTTTGGCACCTTTCACACTGAATTTCTCTGCCATTTTGGCCACTTTTCCTTGAGCCTGCACAGGTAAAGTCAACACAAGTGTTGTGCAGGAAGGAGAAGCTTGAGACAAGTCCTCATGTCCCAGTCAGCATTACCTTTTTGATATTTAAGAGTACTACACCTGGTTAGAAATGTCTGAGTGTTAGCAACCACCCTCCTCCCCTTCATCAATCTGTCTCCACTGCAAGGGCAGGGCTGGGCTGGCAATAAAGGAGATTGTGCCTGGTATGGTGCCCTTGACTTTGGAAAGGATTTGAAACTGGGCAGACAATCATGGCAGTGCCAAAACTCTTCAGCAGAAGTTACCACCTCCAGCTATTTAGCCAACAGTACCCAAGGACCCATCTGGTCACTAGGAAAGAATCTGGTCATTAGGAAGGAATGACTAGTTGGTAGGAAATTAGATGCCCAGATTACTCCAGAGGAAAAATCAGGACAAGGAATAACCCTGATGATCCTGGCCAGGTGTCTCCAGTAAACAGCATCTTGCTGGAAGTCTAAGTGGCACCAAGGGTTTTTTTTCCTAACCTGCCCATTATAGTTCAGTGCCTTTTTTTATGTGGAAAAGTTAAAATAAGATTCTTCTTGAGAACCTTTCCCTGGACTGGGTGATTAAAAAAAAAAAAAATCCCACAATATTTGGATGACATTTGCAGAGGACTTAGATCTCTCTAGTTTACTAGTGGAAGGAGTTGACTGAAGAAGCAAAAATGCTTATAATTTTCAGAGAGCTAATTGGGTATGGGGAAAGCTGAGATTGGAATGGGCAGTCTCCACACAGCATTGCAGGAGTTAAAGCACACAAGGTTTTAAATGCAAGAACAGATTTCTGTCTAACTCTCCACCCACCCTTTCCCAAGTTTACCCAGGAAGAACACAGCACAGTAGCTGAGTGCCTCAACAGGCTATTCAGAAGTTTCTTACAAGGGTCTAACACACCACTTTGTCCAGCTGCCAGTTCCAGGCCAGAGTGGCTCCAAGAACAATATGTCCCATGCAGAACATGCGTGGCCACACCAGTCCCTGGGCCAGGGATGCCTTCTGAAGACTCTGGGGCTGTGGAAAGTGCTGGCCCTGTTTCAGAGGTCAAAGGGGCAACAGGGGCATGAGGCAAGAGACCAAAGCAGCAGGAGGCAGAAGATATGTTGCTAAACAAAAACAGCTTTGTAGCTGAAGTATTTGATGCTGAACTCTTCACTACTTGATGCTATCAAGAGAAACAAACAAATTAGATTTGGGTTTGTTACAGACACAAGGCCAAGACCTGGTGCTGGGCTGCACTCTAGGAGGAAAGAATCTTGGCTACACACAACTGCTTTCAGCAGCAGATACCACCTGGGACAACTGCAGAGGTGACAGGTATCACTGCTGGCAGCTCTGCCTGTCCCAGGGTGTCTCCCTGGCAAAGCCACACTTCATCCTGCAGAAAGGCACTGCAGAGCTTGAGACTTGGAGCCATCAAAAAAAGTCCCTCAACTCCAACTTCAGGGCACAAATGTACCCCATAATGACCCACCAGAGCACAAGGAGCCTTAACTCTGGGATTCCCACTAGCTACTGAGATACAGCTCCAGCCTGGGCTTTGAGAGATGCTGTGATCCACCTTGTGCTTCCATGGGAATTCTGCTGCAGGAAGGAGCACAGACTCAGGCCATCAGCACATAAATCAGGCAGAGATAATGCACAGTCCTACATGGTCACGTTTTCAGAGCCCCCAAATCCCCACAAAAGCCTCTGTTGCAGCTCCTTGTGCAACCCCCCAGGGGCAAATAATGAGAGAGTAGGAATAACAGAAGGTCAGTATAAAAAGTTCACAGATACTATGTAAATGTTCAATTCACTTCTTTGAGAAGCTAAATTTGGGGGGTAATAAACACCTTAAATACTTATACTGTAGTTTCAGTTCAGTCATTAGGAAAAAAAAAAGCATATCAAAAGAATGTATTCCTGCCAGCACTTTTGTTTGCATGAATCATGGCTCAGTGAAACATTTCAGGCATATAATTTATCTTTTCTTTGGCTTACATAGTAAATGCCTCATGAATTCATGAATTCTGCCCTTGTTTTAATTATGCTGTGTTCTGAATGTAGTTTTGTAGACCACAAAAATAAAGAGTGGTTCACCAAACACAGAATGTTTGTACAGCTCTTTAAGCTACAACTGTGGAGCCTCTCTCTGACTTACCAGCAATGCTGTTTGTTTTGTCTTGGCACTCAATTCAGGGAAACTTTGCTTTGCTTTTAGCTTTTACAGATACTACAAGTCATAATCCACCAAACAAAAAAAAAAAAAAAAAAAGGGACTGCTGGCAGCAAGATCTGGATTTTTAGTATGATTATTTGGTAACTGTTTGTAGTTACTGCAGTAACAGTAATTAAATTAGACTTGGTCATTCTCCCATCCTACATGAGAACTAGGAACTTCAAGGGAACAGAAGGCAACTGTGCTGCAAGGCAGAGCCACAGCCTTTGTTTGAGAATTGGAGTTTCAATTTGGCCAAATATCAGAGTGTTTAGTTGATACATTTATCTTCAGAAAAGGTCCTTAACTCCTCCCTGTCCCCAACCTATAATTTCCAGATTTAAAGAACAGAAGACAAAATTATAGGCCAAAAATTCAAGGAGAAGGTGACAATGTCACTCCCCTGTGATACAGTTCTGCCACTTATCTGCACCAAGCAAGTTGAACCCTGATTTTGTGAGTGCTCAATGATTTCCATGGGGCAGCTCTAGGCACACACATAGATGTATAGACACTTTTGACAACCAGCAGAGCTGTCCTTAAGCAGGTGCCCATGTGCCAAAGGAGCTGCTACATGGACTGGGACCCTGCAAACACTCACAGACACACCAAACATCACCCACAGCTGAGGAATTCCTGGGATTGCCACATTATACCCTGTAGGGAGGTCCAGGATGTGGATAGGTACAAGACAACTGGAGCAGAAACCCATAGCAGTAAGAATTAAGTCCAGGCATTATTGATATAAGAAGCTTCAGCTCAACAATCAGTGCTTGCAGGAGCTGTTTGAACTGGCAGACTAAGATTTAGGTTATCTTGTCCTGTCCCCTGATGGTTGCTCATACAGCACTGACTTGAGCTTTCAACATGACTCTTTGCACCCAGTAGATGTTTAACTCTGATTTCTGGTGAAAACTACTCCAGGTTGTTCTTTCATTACAGAGTTTCACACTATGACTTCAGCAGCACCAACTGTGACCTTTCACCTGACAGTGTGAAAGTAGAGCCACAGCAATGACAGCAAAATGGGAGACAAGACTTCTGCATTTGGTTCTATAAGCAACAATTCTTGCAAGCTACAGGGAAAACTTATTTGTGAGCATGTTAGTCAAAAATATCTGCAGGAATTTACAGTGTTGAAAAGCTTCATTCTCATAGGCTACACACAGCAGTGCCAGTGGGCACTGAATAGATGATTCATTGTGAATTATCCACCCTGGGCTGTGTAGGTACTGAATGAATTTGTATTCTTCTATGGATTCTTTAAATGTGCATCTGTAGCTATCTGAAATACTAGTGATGGGGCCAATTCTGAAGGACAGTGGTCAAAAATCAAACTGTTTTGTCTTACAAATGAAGCTTCAGAAAGTGATTACAATTTGTAAGCTCCTACAAGAGATGTGACCCTCAAATTTGAAGAGATCTATGAGAAGACAAGGTAGAAGAAAAAAAAATTCAAAGGGAATTTTGGGGACAACCTGCAATGTCATCAGTGCAAGCAGTGAGCACCTTGGGAGCTGTACTCAACACTACTCAAAGCATTAGTGACCACACAGCAATTTTATCTGTAAGCCTGAACTAGGCCAATTAAGCAGTTATTAAAGTGGCTTATATTCACATATTATATCACATACAGGTTCTGGTGAGAGGGTCACACAGCTAAGTCTCTCCCTCCTGTTCCACACATTGGACAGAATTTGAACTAGATCAATTGGTGTATTCCATCTCTCCAGCAGAACTCATGAGAGTTATGCCACTAATCCCCATGCAGGGGATGGACTTTTTCTGCAGTTAATTAGCTGAAGATTAATCCTTTGGTATATTTGCTGACATCAAACTTTGCAGGAAGTGTAAAATCTAAACTCCTATCTGTTTTCAGCTCCTATGACTAGTGTGTTCACTCAGCTAAGATACCTAGTTTCTTACATCACATTCTCATCCTGTAAAGTCAGTTCTAACAGACCACATTTCCCTGCCTAAAAATATCACACTACCCAGGGGTGCAAAACTTGCTACTGCATGAAATTGCTCATTCTAACATGTAGGGCATGCAACAAGCAGCTGTTGCTCAACAAGTGGGACTATTTTAAGGATGGCACAAACCATGCCAAAGACCTTCTAGAAAACCATCCAATCTCCAGCTCCAAGCACAAGAAAATTTGAGTTTCAGGTGTTCTTGCTTTCCCCTTGCAGCTGTTCACCCTGGCAAGTGGAACATGAGCTTAGCTGTCTCGCCCAAAGCTTTTAGAGAATTACCAATCAATTCAAACCCGAGGCCAGTGCCAGCATTTAGCCACGAGACAGAGCTTCACCACTCAGCCACAGGTTCCTCTGCCACACCTCTCTCCAGCCACCCCCACAGGGTGATGTTACCTGTGGTCGTTTTAAGAGCATCACTGGTTCACAACACAACACCACAACATCGAGTTGTCCTGTTCTATTCACACTGCCAAGAGGTTTCATTAGTGAAATGGATATTTTATTCAAGTACTTGCCTTGCCCTTTGGGACACTGTTGGATGTGCTCTGTGCTCCTGCAGCTCCTCTCGCCTCGATGCTCCTGTCAGGAACGTCCAACTCCTGCTTTTCCTCCTGGGGCTCACTTGGTGCTTTACTCCTTTCCTTTCCCTTCTCCAGTTTGAAGATCCTATCAAAGAAGGTCACTTGTTTCGGCTTGGAGGAAGCCACATCCTCTCCCTCAGGTGTCTCTGAGGCCGTGAGATCGATGTCTTGAAGCTGGCTCAGGGTTTTATGTGCCCCTTCCTCCCTGCCAGCTGCCGAGGGAATCTCTGTGCTCTCACTCGGGGCTTTGTTCGCGCTGGGCACCGCCGAGCTGACATCAAGCCTCGCTGCTCCAACGGATGAATCCGTAGCTGGAGCTTCAGTACGCCCTGGTACAGCCCAGGGGAATGAGAATACAGAGCTGGGCTTAGCAGATGGCAGAGCTGTCCTGGCAGAGCTCCCAAGGCTGTGCCCACCCGGCTCAGGAACAGCACTCTGTGCCATTGTCCTCGGCGAAGAAACGGCCACATTATCCCCTGCAACACTGTCCTTTGCAGCCACTGCCAACACAAGCATAACACAGTCGTTAGCACAGCCAAGGAGTTGTGCTGCTTGGACAATTAATCGTGGCAATCTTGGGCTTTAAGAAACTAGAGGTGTGGGATACACCGAGGGCAGCTCGTGTGGGCACTTCACTACCTTCCTGGCTAAAGAGGAGCTGCTGCTCAGCCATGAGATCTGAGAGATGATTTTCCTTCCTGCTACTCCTCATTGAAGTCAGAAAAGCATCACAATTCGAGAGTTCATACAAGAAAGGGGATATCAAACTTAAGGAGGTAAAGGGTTCTCCACAACCTCCTCACAGCTGCCAAAGTCAGGTAACATCCCAGTTTTTGACCTCTTAGTCCAGTGGATATTACCTACAAGTTAAAACTAGTGATATGGCAAAAAATAATCAATCAGTAAGACTTGAGACAGTTATGTATTAATATATAATAATACCCAGGGAGGCTGTGGCTGCCCCAGCCCTGGCAGTGTTTCATTCCAGGTTGGATGAAGCCTTGAGCAACCTGCTGTGGTGGGAGGTGTCCCTGCCTAGGGCAGGAATTTGGGGCTGGGTGATCTCTGAAGTCCATTCCAACCCCTAAAATTCTATGATTCTATGATTCTAATATATTACACTTTCCTCTGTTGAAGCTAAAGAGGAAAGAAGAATGGAAACCACCAGGACTGAGCCTGTTTTCCTGGCTCCCCAAACTCCCCACGGAGCTCTGCAGTCATAACTCAGTTCATTCATTTTTCCAGCACTGTTTCTTGCTTTGCTGCCCACTCTCCACACTGCAGTCTCTACTTGCTCTTCTCTATTGCCTGTCGGTTATTTTAAGCCTGGTTTGAATACCTATAAATCCCATCCGAGCCAGGCTGCTTATCCTTACTCTTTTTACCCACAAACAGGATGTCTCTGAATCCTATTTCCCCCACCAAAAGTCTCACAAATCATTCCCCCTTGTGTACACACGTGGCCAACACACTTAGATGTCAAAAACCTTTCAGCTTACAAGTGTATTTTATGATTTTATATTACAATGGCTCTTTGATAACACAGCTGAGGTGGAAATCCCTAGGCCTGGGGATGCAGACAGGAGGCAGCTCCTGCTTTACAGGAGACAAAAGACACAAGAGACAAAAGAAAAACCATCTTTCTTGTATCTGTTTTGTGGCTGTGAGACCAAATCACAGCTGATGTGATGTGAAACCTCAGTAAACAAAGAGAGGTAAACTTCACAGCTCCTTCTCAGCCTGAGCATCTCTTCCCTTCTTCATCTAGAACATAGATCTGATTTCCCTGTCAATCATCACCACAGATTTCAGGGATGAATTTAGATCTACTTAATTATAACTGTGAAAAACTGACAGCCTCAAATTGACTTGCTAAATGAGAACGTGAAAATTGTCAGTTTCAATGTCAAATTGCAATTATTTCAAATTGCAATTGTAATAGTCTAGTCAATATTGTGCCTTTCACATTTTGCTTCCAGAGAAATAAACCCCCAGATACCAACAAAGCCTGACAAACTCCTGTCTTCCACTGTATGGATTCAGCTTGATTTGTTACATTCCTTTTTCAGACTAGGCAAGCAGAACATTTTTAGTTCAGTGCTTTTAAAGCTTCCCCTTAGCATTTCACACCAAAATTCCCCCAACTTTCCACCTCCCCCAGGGATTTTGCATGACAACACACAAGCACCAACAGGTACTGCATAACATGTCTGTGAACATTCATCACTGTCCTCCTGTGGCAGTGCCCAGGAACTCTGGTCACATCCATGGGCAAATCCAGGAGAACAGAGCTCCAGCATCCAGCCATGACATCCCCTTCCCTACAGCCTTAACTCAGGGACCAAGAGTCCCTGCTGGAACTGTTTCACAGCTCAGGTGGTTCCTGATGAGCTGTGGTGGAGCTTCCATAAACCCAAGAATCCCAGAATGGTTTGGGTTGGGAGAGACCTTGAAATCATCTCATTCTACCCCCTGCCATGGGCAAGGACACCTTCCACCAGCTCAGGTTGCTCAGAGCTCCATCCAACCTGGCCTGGAACACTCCCAGGGATGGAGCAGCCACAGCTTCTCTGGGCAACCTGTGCCAGTGTCTCACCACCCTCACAGGGAAGAATTCCTTCCCAATGTCCAATCTAACCCTCTCTCAGTGTGAAGCCATTCCCTCTTGTCCTGTCCCTCCAGGCCCTTGTCAATAGTTTCTCTCCATCTTTCTTGTTGGTTCCTTCAGGCACTGGAAGGCCACAACTAGGTCACCTCAAAGTTTCTCTTCTCCAGGCTGAACAACCCCAACCCTCTCAGCCTTTCCTCCCAGCAGAGCTGCTCCATCCTTCTCATCCCCTTAGTGCCTCCTCTGCACTCACTCCAACAGCTCCATGTCCTCCCTGTGCAGGTGACCCAGAGCTAGAGGCAGTGTAAGCCCCAAGGGACTGGGCCAAAAATCTTGCCAGCAGTGGGAGCAACATCTGACAGAGTCAGGGCTGCAGTGGCAGAAGTCACAGCTGTGGGCAGCACCTCACAGCTGCCAGGGCCTGGCTCCTTGCTCCTCTGCTTTAACATTTCTAATGTGCCATTTGCTTTCCCATTGTGTTTTCAGCATAGGCAGAGCAGCCAAAATGCTTCAGTACAGCCTGTTCTGGCCAGGTAAAGGGCACTGCACTTTGTGTGCACACTGAAACAATTTCTTTCCCTGGATTCTCTCTGCTACTATTCATGTAAGGCAATAACTCCACTGGCAAGAATCCTTGGCCAGCAATATCCTTCTGCAATATTTCATGAGCACCTATTTCAATGTACTGACACGCAAAGCAGAGGTACAAATCACCAGCTACTCAACCACCTATTCAGCTACTCAGCTGGGGCCACTGAGGATCAGTGAGAGTTTCCTAAGCCTCCTGTAGTACTGCATGAAAAAAACTCGAAGCACTGACTTCTAATTATACTTGGAAACTTGGGAAGGAAACATAAAGCAAACCCTTCCCCAGCCAAAGAAAGGAGAAACAATATCCATTGGAAAATTATTGTAATAGATGCTGAACTTCTGCTTTTTGTACCAGATAACAAATGAAACACAAGAAAACTGTCTTCTGTATAAAAATAGGAACTGCAGCTCATCATTAAGAAAACCAACTAAACAAGAGGTAGCACGTGAAGCTATCAAGCTCCTTTTATCTCTAATTATCATGGAAGGAATGAAAGACCTGGAAAATATCACTGGCATGAGCTCTGCAGTGCCTCTTGTGTCAGAACAGCTCAGGCTGTGTCAGGCAAAGTCTGCTCAGACACAGGCAAAGCAGATCCCACCAGCAGCAAGGAGCCAGCACTGTGGAGCTTCTGCTCAGAGGAGTTTGATGCATGCCACAGGCACAGCAAACTGAAGGAGAAAGGCTTGGAAGCTCCAATGTTTGGATGAAAAGTGCCTCTTTTTGCTTTTAAAGAGACACAGAAGTGCCATTCTTTGCAGAAATTATCCCTCAATCCAGAGGCAGATTAGGAATAGAAGCAAAACCTCCTAAATTCTAGGCCAGGTCTGTGAGTAGATCAAAGCTGCTCTCTCTCTGAATGAGATTAAAAGCTGCTCTGAAAGGAAAATCAATGCACAATTTACAGCACTGCTGAGAAACTGCATTTCATGCCATTCCTGCACAGGCACTTTCCTTTCAAGTGTTGAACAAGACAGTCACAGCACACAAGATGTGTCTTGCTTTTCCTTTCACTTCATCAGGATATGCTAAACAGGCAATCCCATGGCTGCTCCAAGTCCTTCTGTAAGAACACACTCAAAGACATTTCTTCTGAAATTTGCTAGATTAGACCAAAAATTTTTTCCTGAAGAAAAACTGCACAGAGAAGAGTAATGGTTAGTGCAACGTTACAGAATCACAGTCTGGTTTGGGTTGGAAGGGACCTTAAAGATCATATCATTCCAACCAATTTTATATCTATATACACACACATATATATATATATGTGTGTGTAAAAAAGTGCCTCAAGTGCTTTGTGTTTCAGCCCTTACAGACCCACAGAGCTGTGTCAATACACTATTTCTCTTAGATTCTACTAGCAGAATACCCTGAATGCAATTTATCCTCTGGGACAAAGGAATTGCATCTTCACTCAAGGTTTTTTTTTTCCTTTGTAATCTTTCTAATTACTTTGTAATTATTTTTATGAGCAGGTCATTGTTTCCATCTGTGTGTAATTAACCCCCAAATGCACATGAAATTGTTCCCATTTCACCCTCTTGCTGCATTGGTGCTCTGTGTAATGCAAAGCAGAGATCTCTTGTCTTTGACATAGTTCTTCAGAAGCTGTTGTTCTTCTTTTATTAAAAGACATCTGCAAATATATTAACCCTTTTTTTTTTTAAGTCTCAATGGTTTTTTTTGCATGTGTTAGTACAATTTTCCTGTCTCTTTACTCATTTCCCAGTGGCTTAAACATAGCTGTAAATTTTTTGTGGAAGCCCTATGTAAATGATTGCTCTCCCTGTGTATGTACAGGTTGTAATGTAAAATTATTGACAATATAGACAACTTGCAGTTCTGGCTGTCTTCCATTAGGCATTATGAGGCTCTATGACCCTTACAAGAGCCTAAATTTGGGCTCCTTGCAGCAACAATTCCTCCAAGGCTTGTGGGAGACATGAGTTCCACCAGAGCCCAAGCAGAGGTAGTTTATGCCAAACCCTGAAGGTTTTGCAGCACTTTGGAAGGGACCAGCCCCAAAACACTCCTGCCCTAGGACACTTCATGCTAAGCAAACCCTTTACTCTAAACCCACTTTTCATGGACCAGATGCAGAGCCAAATTCCTAGAGCTATTAAACAGCTTCCAGAGGACTTGGGAAATATTTTCTTATCTTGCTCTTTATTATCTTTAAAATTCCAAGGTTCTGTAAACCCACAGGTACTGATTCACAGGTTAAGAGCTGAACCATGGGCTCATATTCTAATTTAAAACTATGCATCAGTATTTATTGTTCCTCCAGTATAAACCTGTGTCTCATGGCAAAAGAAGAGCAAACACTCCTCCTTTCCCAGTACATACCTTCACCATTCACTGCTGGGGAATGAGGCTGAGCAAATACAGCAGATCCATTTGTAATACTGTCAGGAGAGTCAGAGAGAACCTGAAACAGCAAATCACACAGTTTTTAGGACTCACACATCAGGGGGTTGAATGTTGTACTGGCAGTAGCCATGGAAAATGAGAATGAGGAGCTCTTCCTTACCTGATAGCTCTTCACTGTACAGGTATTGTCATCTTCAGCTTCCTCTGGGACACTCACTGTGTTCCCCATAGCTCCTGCCAGGTAGAGAAAGCAAAGCCAACTAACCCTTTCTTTCTCATTAATGACTTTCCTGCCTAACTCCAATTAAGAGGCAGCCAATGGGGATTGACTGTTTCAGGCTGGTTAAGTGGCTAAAAAGCCCCACATGCTCTCCCAGAGGCATATGCCCCATCATCAGGCTGCACCAACCAGTCTTACCCATAGCCCATTATGCTCAGGGCTCACAGCTGCTCCCCCAAAAGGCTATAAACCAACAAACTCTTCTTGTTAGTGGAGGAAAACTGGCTGCAATCACACATGCAGCAGTCATTAGAGCTCAGGAGATACCAACATGGAGTTGGCATCAGAAAAAGAAAAAAGTATAGGGATAAATTATAACAGTTGGACATTTTGTTGGATTTGCAGTTAAAATAGAGCAGAGAAAGAAAGGAGGCAGCAGGGAAAGGCATCACACATGTAAACTCTGAGTTGTAACCTCTTTCCTGTGTGTACAAATGCACATAAACCTTCTGGGGGGTTTGTTTTGGTTTGAATTCCTTCCCCCCTCAATTTAAAGTACACTTATGTACCCTCTGAGCTCTCTGTGCTTTAGAACTGTAAATTCTTTGGGGACAAACACACTCCCTGCAACACAGTGAAAAGGCAAACTGATCCCAAGCCAGGAGAGAAGTTCCTCTGGACTTTGGCTCAGGATATAAATGTCTATGTACTGTTAAAGCTCTGCAAAGAAACAATAAGGAGAGAGGATTCTGAGTCACACCTTGAGAGAAGAAGGTGTCTAGAGAGAGGAAGAAGAGCTGGGGCTGTGCTTATCCTTTTGAATGTCCTGCACAGCCATCACAGCTACCAAGTGCCTTCTGGTGGGTTATTGCTTTGGTTTAAGCCTGTCTGAATCAGTGAAGCTGCAGAGGGATGGAGGAGAAAAAAACCCCTTAATTAAAATAATTTTAATTAAACAGGCCATAGCTGTTGGAGGAAAGAAGGAAAACAGTAGTTTTGCACAAGCATATTGACTAGAATTGGAAAGGGAGTGTGAGGGGCACCTTGTGTGTGCCTCCAGTTGCTGTTTGCTGAGCTCGAGCTCCGAGTTATTTTGCAGAGTTATTTCATCTTCTCAGCTGATATTTCCAGTATAAATCAGAAGTTCTGATTTATGGTGGAAAACAGCCAGTGCTTGCCCATGGATGTACAATGGCCTCTTGTCCTTGCTCTGCAATTCTGTTT